CATGAAACTGGGACCAATGAACTCGTGACATTCCAACGAAGCCAAATCACTCATCGCGCCTTTTTTATGCTTGCTCAAATTCTATTCGCTATTTTTCCCATTCATGTTTAGTGGGGGTTTAAAACCCCCGCTATCTGCTTATGTTACAGGTAAAACGATGAAGAAGATGCTAGCGTGTTGGAACATGATTGGAGTATTTGAATCTGGCGCGTTTTTTATTGTTTTATATCATTAGCTTTATTTTCTCATTATAAATTTTGTGTTCCATTATATTATCAAAACGCACAAACAGCACAACTGGCAAAGCATTAGCATGGTAAACGCAGGGACCTGAGTTCGATTCCCAGGTCCCCCATATTTCTCCATATTTTTTATGTTAACAGGTTCAGGTGGTTATCACACTCAAGGGAGTACCATATGCCTTCACCCTCTGGCTTGCCACGCGCCCAGAGGCTCCATCCAACGGTCAGGATGTGCAGATCACCATACGCATTGGTCAACAACTCCTCACACAATCAGAGAAGTCAACCAGGCCTTGCATTTCAATGGGCCTAACTGCTGCAAATTAACCTCCATAATTGGGCCAGAAATCCCCCTGTTTGTATTTTCTTTCCCTTTCTTTTTATTTTCTTTTATTTATTTTAATTTATCTTGATTATTTTAATTAATTCTCATAATACAAAAAAAAAATTAAAAAAAAATCAGAAAAGTCAAAAAAATAAAATATGTTTATTTAATTTTTTTTATTTCATAAATAGTTTTGTAAATAAATTTAATAGTCCATTTAAGTTAATTTAGGCTTTTTAACTTTAACATTTTTTCTTAAATAAACTAAAAAACATAAAAATTAGGTTTTAGCATTGTTATTCTTTTTTCTTAATAAATAATCTTTTTTTATTTTTTATCATTATTAATTATTAATTAATTTTGTAAATACTCTTATAATTAAAACAATCAGTAAATTAGGTTTAGACTTAAATTCTTTTTCTTTAACAAGTTAAAAATAATATAGAATTAGGGTTTTCTATAATAATTAATTTTCTCATTAAATTTCATAAATACCAAAAAACACAAAAAATAACTTCCTTTTCTCCTTAAATCATTAATTAAACTTTAATTTTAATTTAATTTCTTTAAAGGGTCCAACGCCCTCGCACCTTCGATTATAATTCCTTCTCGCGCATTTGCTTTACTTTTTCTTTTTTAATCTTATGTAATTGCCCCAAAGCTTTGTAATAGATAATTAAGACATTTACTTTCCGCACCTTTATTCAAATCGGGTCTTGGTTTAATTTGGCGATGTATAGACCCGCGCCTTGTAATAGTGTAGGACCTTTATTTTCCGTATTTTAATTTTCGTACCCTTTAAACTGTTAATAATCACATGAAAGAATGAATGCCCAAATAAAATCAAAGCGTAGCTCACCCAATGCATGACAAGACAAACATAACATGAAAATAACACACAATTCACACACCACTCTTAGGGTACGCCTCACTGTTGCCTTGCCCCTCGAAACGTGGTCGTCGAGTATAAGACGTTTTAGTAAGTCCTCATGTCCATGAACATGGCATGGGGGTAGCTTCTAAGGTGTCCTCCTATTGCTCTGGTGACCACACTGTCCCTAAACTCGAATTGACCCGAACACCTCCAACGGTGATGCTACCTACCCCTCAATGGTGGGATGGTACTACCTTAAGGACATTTACACAGACTAATTCCTTAGGGTAGGTAGATGACTCGTAGATACTTGCTCTAATTCAAAACAAATCAAAAATTTCTTTTCACACCGACACTTTGCAAAAAGCTTTCAAAAACAACTTTTCAAACACTCTTGAGGACTGATACAAGAGTCGATCTGAAACTTTCAAAGAAACTTTTTCAAACCCACTCACCTTGAAAAGCAAACAAACATTTTGAAAACACAAATGAGCAAGTATCTAAGAGCCCGTGGATAACCACGGAGAGAAAGAGTGCTAACACCTTCCCTTTCTATAAATCTACCTCCCGAACCGAGAACTAATCTCAATAAGAAATTTTTCTGTGCTTTTGTCCTTTCCATATTGGAGAAAATAAAAGATGGTGGCGACTCTTGCTTCCGCGACATTTCGCGAACCAGCTTTAAACAGTCAGTTCCAGATCCACCGATCACAGTAGTGTTATGGAGAAAGCATGATAGGATTAAACCTCTATTCAAAAGAATGTATAAACCTTTGTATGGGCTGAAAAACACGATTTAGGTAGCTAGGGATCAATTACATACTGCTCAAATGGAGTTAAATAAGGATAGAATGAACAAGAGTAAGATGCACCTTGTGAAATACTGGACTTATGAAGTGGTGAAGTGGAATGAAATAGAGGAGATCGACCTTAGTCAAAAAGATAAAATTGATTGGCTAAGGTTAGGTGATAGTAATAATACTTATTTCTATGCTTCTTTGAAAGCTAAGAATAAGCAGAAGAGTATAAATAGACTGCTAAAAGATGATGGTAGTACCATTTGGAAGCAGGAAGACATTGAAGATGAAGTGCTCCAATTCTATGGTAATTTGATGGGTAGCAAAGAGAATAACATGGAGAAAGTGAATATAGTTGTCACGAGAAGTGAAACTCAGTTAACTCAGGATCAAATGAGCTATTTGATTACCCCTGTCACAGACATAGAAATCAAAATTGCCTTGGATGGTATTGGTGATAAACTGATAATAAAACCCCTGGAATTGACGGCTTTGGTGCTAAGTTTTTCAAATCAGCCTGGCAATCAGTAGGGAAAGAAGTGTGTGATGCTGTCAGGGAATTCTTTGTGCATGTGAGATTATACAAAGCTTTCAATTGCATTGTGGTGGCCCTAATTCCTGAAACTGATGATGCCAAAAGGATTAAGGAGTTTAGGCGAATTTCTTGTTGCACTACCATTTATAAGGTTATTTCTAAAATCCTTACAAATAGATTAGGGTAAGTGATTGGTACTATTGTGAGCAAAAACCAGGCTGCTTTCATACCTGGGCGGAACTTGCACAACCATGTCCTTTTAGCTTATGAGATTTTAAGGGGATATGATAGAAAGAATAATACTCCAAAATGTATGATACAAGTGGACCTACAAAAAGCCTATGACATGATTGAGTGGAATGCTATACAGATGATTCTACAGGAAACTGGTTTTCTTAGGAGATTTGTTGACTGGATTATGACTGCTATCAGCACAGTGTCCTACAGGTTCAATGTTAATGGTTCTCACACTGAGGTCATGGAAGCTAAGAGGGGTATTAGACAGGGTGATCCCATGTCACCTCTCATTTTTGTTTTGGTCATGGAGTATCTAACTAGATACCTTAACCAATTAGAGCAGGTCCCTGAGTTTAATTATCATTCTAAATGTGAGAAGTTGAAGATTACTAGTATCTCTTTTGTTGATGACTTACTTCTTTTTGCTAGAGGAGATAGTAAGTCCATTGATATTATGATGGATGTTTTCAATAAATTCTACAGATCTACTGTTTGAAGTTGAACCAGAACAAGTGTCATATTTACTTTGGCTCTGTGGAAGATAGAACTGAGGAAGAGATCATGAGGAGCACTGGGTTCAATGAAGGAACTCTCCCAGTTAGATATCTGGGCATTCCTTTATCTAGTAAGAAGCTGAATATTAAGCACTACTTGGTCCTGGTGGAAAAATTAACTGGCAGAATCAAACATTGAAGCTCAAAGTTATTATCTTTTGCATGGAGGATTCAGCTGATTCAGAGCACTATTTTTGCAATTGTGAATTCTTGGATGCAGAGTTTACCTCTGCCTAAAGCTGTGTTGCAGGAAATTAATGTTGTTTGCAGAAGCTTCCTTTGGACAGGTGGTAATGACAAGTCTAGAAAGTCCCATGTAGCCTGGCAGAATATGTGCAAACCAAAGAAAAATGGAGGCATGAACCTTATTGATTTAGCTGTCTGGAATAAAATCAATTTGATGAAATTGTTGTGGAACCTTTGCAACAAATATGATAATATGTGGATCAAATGGATCCACACTTATTATATTAAAAAAGAAGCTTTGATGACTATGGAGAAAAAGACAGTCATTCATGGATTTTGAAACAAATTTTGAAGCAGAGAGAAGCATATCTGATGATACAGGGTAAGATTCAAAATAACTTCAAGATGAAGGATGTTTATCTGGAAATTAGGAAAGATGAGCCTGTGGTTAGTTGGTATAAGTTGTTCTGTCATAATATGGCTAGGCCTTGTGCTCAATTCATTTTATGGCTGACTTGTAATGAGAAACTTGCTACAAAAGATAGAATGCTCCGACTTAGTATAATAAAGGAAGACAAGTGTGTTTTTTGTAGTGAGAGAGAAACAGTTCAACATTTGCTTTTTGTGTGCAGAGAGAGACTATGGGTATCTGGAACAAAATTCTAGAGTGGATCCACATAACTCATAAGCCTACTGCTCGGAAGGAGTGGAGGAGTTAGATTGGGTTATTAAGAGGTGCAATGGGAAAGGCTGGAGATCCAGCATTCTAAAATATGTTGTGGCTGAAACTGTCTACAGCTTGTGGAGATATAGAAACAATATTGTTTTTGGGAATTTTGTAAGTAAGGAGAAAGTGGAAAAAGATCTTATAGATATCATAGTTTATAGGAGTTGGATAAAAAAAGAAATTTAGGAAACAGTTAGTCATTCTTATGATGTAGTGGGCTAATTTAATTGGTTTGGTAGTTTGTTGTTTGTTTTGGTTTTTGGACTGGATTGGTTGAGATCGTCGTGTCCTTATTGGATTTTTTTGATTTAATGATATCTCATTTAAAAAAGAAAACCACATTTGACCAAAATTACTCTATCCTTGATTTGAATGCACTTTGAAGTTTGAAATACCCTCCAAATTTTTATTTTGTTTTAATTTATTTCATTTTTTCAATCTCACCATCATCATTTCAATATCAAAAAGATCCTCTCTTTCACTCTATTTTTCAATTCCTTTCACTGAAAGAAGAACAACGACAATGGCGCCAAGAGGAAGACCACCCAAAAAGGTCTTCCATTTTTTCTCTTTTCCCTTTGTGTTTCTTATTTTTCATGGCATTTTACCTTTTTTTAAAGGTTATTTTGTGTTTTTCTCTGAAAAAATAAGACTGCCGAAAATACGAGAATGGATGCTGCTATGGATGCAATGGGACAATTTGGTTTTAAGAAGAAACTTGTTTGGAAAACGGTTGAGGAGCTTCTTGATGTTGGTCTTTTTTTCTTGAAATAGCTGTTAAAAAAGTTTTGATTTTTTGTTGTTTTGTTTTACTCTTGATAAAAGTTTTGATTTTTCATTGTTTTTTAGGTTTATGAAGGGACTCAAGGATGGCCCTTTATTGAAGAGGGTTCTTATAAGCTTCTACTTGAAAGTTTACTTTACAATCAACAAACTTGTGTTGATGACAAGGTAAGCATTTTGCAAATGTGTTTATTTCTTTGAAAATGTGATAGTTTAGTTACTTTACTAACTTCATTGCAATATATTGTGTAACGATTTTGTTTTTGAGATTCTGTATTTCAGCTATCAGGTAACACTGCTCACACTACTAAAAATTGCTAGCATTCAACACTGATAAGGGGTGAACGTTTAAACTGATTCAATGAATTAACAATTAAATGAATATTTTGAAATGTCTGTTATGTCATCTCAGTTGATACCTGAGCATGGACATCAGATGTAAGGGTGCAGGTTCAGACCTGCGACTAAGCTACTTGACCCAAAAAAAATGAATATTGTGAAATATTTGATTTGGAAGGACATTGTGATTTGTGAAAGCTTTTGTTTGGATATACTGTCAGACACATATGTAACACCAACGCTCGGTGGTTACATTCAATCACTTCCATTTTTTTACCGGTGTTTATATCTAGGTATCAATGTTGGTGTCGTGTCTGGTGTTTGTGTCTATGCTTCCTGACTAGACAACTAGACTCTGAGTGTCTGACTCAACATAGATTGTTACACAAATGGTACTTTTATGATTTTGAAATAATAACAGGAAAAGAGGGTTATTTGCAGGATGATACAAGAAGGGATGATGTTGGTGAGATATCATCAGCTGCTACTCTCAAAACAGGAATGACTGAAGTTGGCTCCTCTGGTCTAGTAGCTCACGACTCCTTATCGCGTGCAAGTGATGATTTGAACTTTACATCTCAGACCAATGATCATCATCAAGATTCTGCTCCAACTATTAATCAAGAAATAGAAGCTGGTAATTTGATTCTAACCTCCTTTAGTTCCTTTCATTTGAATATATTTGCATTACTCTTCACTGCTAAGAAAAATACAAGGTTGCTAAACATAAGTTCCTAAATCAAAGTTAGCCCCCGGTTAAGTGTAGGTCCGGCAAAGTGAAACCTAAACCAAACTTTGAAAGTTTTTTGTCAAGTATTTTGGTATGGTACACTCTAAATTTACTTACTTATACATATTTGAATTGACTGCATTCATTCAATCACGCATATCCGATATGACTGTTGGATTAAGATCAGACAATTCATGTTTCAACTTTGTTTTTGGACGTGATTTAACAATGTTGGAATGCGAATCATTCAATTTTAGTCTCACAAATGCGTGATTCTTTGACTCCAAAAGATATATTTGCATTATGGAAAAGATGTTAAATTTTCCTAAAGAGCAAGTTTAAATCAAAACCTTACTCTAAGTATTATTATTTTGTTAATAATGCTTGTGATAATGTTTGCAGATGAGAAGGATACCAATGTGCCCACTAAGAGAGTTGAAGATCAAAAAGGCATCAGTGTAAAGTCTAAATGATCAAAAGCCAACGAACAACGTCAAAGAAAGCAATCATAAAACATCTGTTAGCAATGTTGAAACCGCTATTGTGAAGAATTCCATGATTGAATCCTCAAAAACAAGTGACAAACTTCCATGCAATAGACGTAGACGCTGCCATGGATGGATTAGTATTGATGATAGTGTTGACCTTTTGTACTTTCCACCTCCAGTATTACCAAAACATATAGAGAAATTGATTGAGAAGATGGAAGGTCCTCAGATACAAAGGCGTCAGAGTTGATGGGATGAAAAACCAGATGATAATATGTAAATGTTAAATTTGTAGATTAATGAATTTCTTAGGTCTTGTTTGGTTTTGTTTTTGTATGTAACCTATGGTATATTGGCGATAGGAAGCAATTTTTTGTTCACGAGACTTTAAAGATGAATATATATATTTTTTAAAACACTTTAAAAATAAATATTGAATTGGCTTAAAAATGCTTGTTTTTATTATTATTGTTATGCTATAATTCCTTGTAGGTGTTGAAAAGGAGCGGGTCCGAATGATGTTTACCTCTCCAAACTTAAACTTAAATTTGTAAACAATTTGTAAACAATTTCCGTTTCCTGCTCCAATTTTCATTCAAGAATTAAAATCCAAACTTATTTTAAATAGATTTGAGTATTTCTGCTCTACGGTCATCTATTTAAAATCTATTCTCTTTGATAAAAATATTTATTTTTAGATATCAAATTATTTTATAAATAATAAAATAAAACAATCTTACAAAATTCGATCCATATCTTTTAAATAATAAATACAAATTAAAATATTAATTGTATATTTAATATTATAAATTATCAAAACTTAATAGTAAATTACATATTAAAATAAATGAGCCAGATTCGAAGTGGATATTAATCTCTACATTATCCGACCCATGTCATATTTTATAATTGGAGAAAATTCAAACTCAAATTTAAATCTAATTAAAACAAAATTTTCCCCACAAATTTGAGACGAATTAGAGTAAATATTCGCGAATACATGTTGCTATGCCGATTTGATTAAAAATGAAAGATACATTACAAAAAATGGCAGTGTAATAACTAATTTATTTTATGTATAATTACTATTAGATTATTTTTTCTCTAGAGTTTATATCTTACAAAATAAATTGATAGTATTGATAAAAGACACGTTTTAAAAAATAATAAACATGGTAATTTGTAGACAGAAAGTATTGAAATAAAAAATTTCCAAAAGATCAAAAATAATAATCGTAACAATTTTTTTTTCTCAATAGATTAAGACTAATAGTACACTTTTTAATAAATGTTAAATTTGTTTATTTATAAATTCTAGTTTAAAAAAAGATATTTGTTTATTTATAAATTGAGTAATGCTATTTAGTACAAAATATTTTAAAGAAGAAATGCAAGAATGTATAATGTTATCATTTTAGAGGTGAATTTTAAATTAATTTTAATTTTAACTTTCTTTTTAACGGAAATCATATAGTGGTGGTGATATTTAATGGTGGAGATTTATTCTTGCATTTCTTATTTTAATATTTTCTTATTAATAAGTATTTTCTTTATAATTTCCAATTTAAAAAAAAAAAGCAAATCTAAATCTATCTAGTTCTCAATTCATGTGTCAAATTCTTAATGGTCCTGAGAACTTCATCACTCTCCATTAGTCTATATACAATGGTTTACATATTTAACATCTTCATTTTTTACTTTTTATATTCCACATCATCTTCTTTTTTCTTTCACTTAATAATTCAATATACATTTAACGTTTACTCACTATAATAATTTTGTTTAATAAAATTCAACACTCTACTCCACCACTTTTATTTCATATTTTAATTTTCTTTTATATTTTTATTTTTATGATTATATATTAATATCAATTATCAATTGAAATTAAATTAAAATAATTAAGAGTTAAATAATTTGTTTTATTTTTTTAATTTAATAATCTTTTTGAATTTTTTTCCTAATTTTATATTCTTAATTGATTTTTTTCCTTGTAAATAATAAAAATGTGATAAAATTACAAAAAAACTAAAAATGTAATACAATACACTAAACACACTTAAAATGAAACACATAATTTAATTAGTATAATAAACTTAACTCACAAACAATCTATTTAATCATGAAATATTCTGAACTTTGCTCATATGTGTTTGAAACAATATGAACTTTGCCCATATGTCTTTGATTAGATCTACTAATCATAATTTAATTAGTACCTCCTATTTTGATGTATTCATCAACTCCATCGACCGCCACATCATATGAAATTTAGAGGAAATCTATAATTTGGTATATTTTATGGACCTTATTGATTAGAACATTGATTTTAAAATATATAGTTAGAATTTTGGTAGTTGAAAAAGTAATTAGTAGGATTTTGGATATTAAAAAGTTTATTGTTGAAATTCATTTCAATAAGATATTTAGAATTACAAACAAGAATTTATTGGAGACTAAATAGAAAAATTAGAGAGAAAAAAATAATTTTTTTTTATGTATTCAAATCTAATGAACCAAATATCAATTTATAGAGAAAACAATAATGAATTTTAGTAAAAAAAAAAAGAAAAAAGTTTAATATAAAATAATTAATTTCAAATGATTAAGGGGAAATAAAATTTAAATAATCATATCAATTAATAAAATTTTATAAAATATTATATGTAATCTCACTTATTTTTCATTCAACATATTAAATATTTTCAACACAAATTAATCTATGCCGTTTTTAATATCTCATTCAACACTCTATTTTAAACATTATTCAACTATTGAATAAATTTTCAACACCTTTATTATATAGAAAAACATAGGAAAATAATAAATATCTTTACGCGGGTATTTTATTTTAATTAACCAAAAAAAACAAAAAAATAAATAGCGGATAATTGGTTCTCCTTGCCTCGCGTCGCTTACTTCCTATCGCTACTACTTCTTCAGTCCTCTGCCATTTTCTCCATTCTCACCAATTATAATGGCATTAGGGTTTGCTTACTCTTAGACTCATCGTTTTCTCTCAATAAAACCATGAATCTCTCACTACCATCACCTTCTACTTTTCGCGGGAGCCTCGTCGTTCCTATCTCGCACTGCACTTCTTGCTTTCAGTTCAATCTTCGATTTCATCGTTCCAACCGTTTTTGCAATTCGCGGTGGAGCTCCGGAAAATTGAGTCGTACCGGAAGACGAAGGATTGCTTGTAGTGTTACTGAGCCTGATGGTGACAACCAGGAGGTACTTTCAGTTTGTGACTTTATCTGTTTCAGTTTCTGTTTTTGTATATCCGTTGTTGAAGATTTGTACAGTAAGTGAGGAAGGATTATTTAGATTCAAATTGAAGTTTGTGATAATTGTTCAAAATTCATTGCATGATGATTCTATTTATTAGCTTAGATAATTGGATTCGTTATGGAGTCATTAGTTACTGTTAGTAGACTAATAGATATATAGGAGTTGTTGATATTAAAGTTGTATTGGAGTGCCACATTTAATGAGGATGAATTCATATGCGGCTAAACACATTTTTTCTGGTGTTGTTCAAATCTACGTATAGTTGAACATTTGAAAATTGTGGTTAATCGCATCCAAATTCTTTATTTGTACAAGAATTATTTCTCATTTGGATTTTGATGTGATATAATGCATTTGATGAAACTGCTTTTAGCATTTGGAGGATAAATGTCCTAGGCGTGGTTGTCAAAATCGAGATCTCGATAAAGATTGTTAGGGTATAGAAAAAGCGTAAATCGTAGGATCGTAACACGGATCGTAAGATCCCAACAAATAGACAAAATTATAAAAATAACTAGGAAAAATTACTTTAACATAAAATTCTCATTAATTTAATCATCAATACCAAATGATGGGAGGGGTAGGAAAGAAAGAGATAGGAAGGGAAGAGGTAGAAAGTGAGAGAAATGCTAGATTTGTAATGGGAGAAGAAACCAGACATAAAGGAGAGGAGGTTTACGATGGTTAAAAGAGAAAAAGGTAGTGTGAGAAACTCAGATTTGTAAAGTCAATCACTTGCTTATCACCAAATGGGGTTTAAGAAGGAGGAACTTGTTATATAGGATGTGGGTATTTAAGCAAAACCAAACCGTTGCCCGTTTGCCTTCTATTTTTGAATAATCTTTATTGTGTATATAAAAAATTGAAAATAGCAACATATTTTTAGTGTGCTAGTTATCATTGAACACATGTATATTCTTTTACATGCACCCCATTGCTTTCACACATTGTTGAAAGAATGGTTCTCAGCCCTACATGTTAACCTTTATTTTTCCATACTTTTTCCTTGACAATGCAATTTTGAAACTTACCTAGGAAAAAGAACATAAAAATGAAGAAACACAATCTTTGGAGGATTCTTTTGAGCAAAGTAAGCCCCCGCCTGTAGATGGAGAACAGATAAACAAGTCTAGTGATGAAAATACACAACAAAATGATACACAGGTAATGCTTGACTTATTTATATTCAATTTGGTAAGAAATAGCTATGTTGACAAAGTTTTCTTATTATTGTTTGCAGAAATATATTTTATATTTCTTTGTATTTGATGAGAATTATATATACTATATTTATAGAATACATAAGGCAGGATTTGGAAGAAAAATCTAACCTAAGAATCAGGGGAATTAATTTCCCATGAATGCTAATTCTAATTACAGAAAGGAACAAGAAATAATAGCTAGTTAATTACATTAATCTTAACCTTTAATGAGCCGTACAAACAAAATCATTTGATTTTGTTATGATTATTCCACACTCCCCCTCAATCTGGGTGATAGATGTCTATCATACCCATATTGGATCTGATATTCTCGTATATGTTCCTCGGAAGGGTTTTTGTTAGAATGTCTGCAGTTTGCTGACATGATGGAATATGGTTAACACTTATAATTTCATAATCAATTTTCTCTTTGATGAAGTGTCGGCCTATCTCCACATGCTTTGTTCTATCATGCTGTATTGGGTTCTT